GGCTATGAATAGATATAGTTTAAGTTTAAAATAATCAATAACGTATGTAGTAGTACCCGTTATGTATAATTATATGCTATCGTTATATCCTGATCGTTTGTCATTGAGTTTCCTAACCACACAAGGGGAATCTTGGCACCAACTAGGAAGATCACTATGATCACTGTGTGAAAGTCAACCACGAGAAAACACCGGCGAAGCTGACACTGACCACAAACATCCAGGTTGGTGATCCTCGAGCAATGCTATAGTTTATTCCAGTGGAGGAGCATAACACCCGCGAGAGAAACGGAAATCCAATGTGACTTTGAACTAGAACAAGTATGACATAGTATGACTACATACGCCACATATATAAATATAAGATATATATATATATGTACATATATATATATATATATACACATAATACACATATGTATATGAGATATATTATACGCATACCAGACAGTTGGGATTTCACAAAAGAATCGCCTTCACTGCTTTAGTCGAAGATCCCCTCAGGTGGTGATTTTTGAGTGGCCATAACCCGCACAGCGGTCCTGCTGTATGATTTCTATGACAACAACATGTTTTTTGATGGATAGATAACTGATAGTATATTATATAGAAACACGTGGAGAGATTGTTATGAACCTGATATGGATTCACATCACACCACATTTCTATGTTTCCATTTGGTTGATTATCCATCCCTTTAATTCGGTACTGGAAGATATTGTGTAAAAAGTGGAGTATATACATATATATATATAATCATATATACTCTATAAACCAAACCAGCTAGACACAGTTGTGTTTTACTTTTACTGGCATGTTTTTTTTTGGGCAGTGATTTGCCAAATACTTTCGTAAATGGACAAAATTTTCAAACCCCTTCTATCCGGTACAACCCCCTCGCCCCCAAAGTTCAATGTGAATGTAAACAGAAGTGCAGTAGCCCCAATGGGCGAAACAAATCAAACCCCTAACATCACTTTTGGTAACACGCGCGCTGAGACATTGAGATTTGGGGGTGCGGGCGTTCAACACAGTGCGTATTGCAGGGTTTGAATGTTTTGTCCATCTACTGTAGTTCATGATTTTAATAATCATTACTATAATGTTTCATTAAAGTGAATATATACTTCCATGTTGCATGTTTTTGTTTGGAATGATGATGATGCTTAATAACACATATTCACATATATTATTACGGCGTAGTAACTTCGTTTTATGCGTGTTCAACGCCAGGTCGCTGACCTCATCATGTCCGAGCCGCCTCTCCTGGACTCGTGGCAGACACGTGAGCGCTGCCGCGAGCGGATCCGCCCGGGCCGCAGCTAAAAGCGCCATGCGGCAACCCTCGGAAAGGGGTGATATGGGCTGATGGTTTCATGAAATGGTCGATTTACTCTGGGAAATGAGGGATTTAGCCTCAGAAATGGTCGTAGATGTCCATATGACTTTAGTTGCCGCAGATTTTGCATGGATCTTGCAAAAGGATCACCCAAATGCGCGGGCCAATGCACCATGGACCCATCAACATAGACACACGAAACCCATTAAAACCTCAAACTGCCTCCGGAACTCTTGAATCACCATCAGGCCCAACAGTGGAACCATTGGGACTATATTTTTACAGACCTGCCCCAGCTTGCAGGTGATTCGAAAATGTATGACCTGCTGGTGCAGATCAAGGACAGACATAGTATAACTGTACCTCCCCACGCTACGTCCATCTGACTCCGTCCGAGGGTGTCTCACAATGGATCCCGGAAATATAACGGTTTGGACTTAGCACTGAGAATTGGTTTCCATGTTGAAGGGTTTAAGATAACCACACTCTAACAAATGGCTTAAAATGCATTTGTTTAATGGTATTTGGAGGGTCCAAGTAGAAACTTGAAACCCCACCACTCGTAGATCATGTTCCTCTTGGGAAACATTGGGTTTTCCATGTCTAGAGGAGGGTGATTTTCTAAAGCTAAATGGTAAATCTTCGATTTCTTAGGGTACATTCAACATTTCTGGAAGTAAATCCACCCTTGGACCCTTGGACTAGGGCAAAATCCTCAAATTTCTGGAGCAAAATCCCAGCCCACCGATCCCAGGACCTGGAAGATGATTGCGAATTGGACGTCCAGACACGTGAACGACTGCGGAAACTGCCAAGGAATGCCATTGAGGTGCCCATGGTGCTGCGGCTGCGGTGTTTCTTGCTACATGGTACATGGCCATGGGCCATGGAAGACGGTCTGCCCATGGTTCTTGCAAAAAGAGTAAGCTGGAAGCTTTGCATACCTAAAACATACACACACATACGCATAATATATATATATATACACATGCAGTCATACATATTATATATTATATATAAGTATGCATGCTGGGCTGTGTGTGCTTTGTATGTTATAGTGAAGACATTTACGACCAATTAGGACACATGATACGTATATAATTGTTTCTCCAGGCAGGTTGGCTCCTTGAAACTGGGACCCCCACTTTGGGTGGCGTCATAGGACCTTGATTAGGTTTGAGAACCCAACACAGATGAAACCTTATTCGTAAAGGATGGTACCTAGCAGGATAGATAAGACAAACAAATGATCCCCAACGACTCAACGACTTCCGATGTTTCTGAAGTTGGCTCAACCACCAGTAGTTCTTGTTCGCCCGTCGGCAGGGAATCTTGCAGCATGATCGCCATTGGACGCCAGAGACGCAGCGACAGCAGAGACTTGGATGGCAAGTCGTTCGCGGAGAGCGAAGACCTATAGCCTATAGGTATATTTTATGGTATTGGCCAGTATTGATCACTTATTAATCACTATTATAGAACCACTATCAACCATATATTTGTTGTATTTGTTTGAGTTTTGGTTTGGGGCAGGGCAAGGTATCAAGCTAGTCATGGTAGCGGGGGGACTTGAAGGATTCATCACTGCAGGATTGAAATCTATATCCATCCCGAGGGTTCTGAGCATCACCGATCACCGATAGGGACTCGCTCGCGACAGAGAACAGGAGAGACCAATATTTGAAGAGGTCACAGAGAGAATTTGCCAGATGGAGAATGATCAGAATATATCATGGACCAATGGACCAATATTCTAATGTGGAGAAATGTGTTCTATCCTTCTTGGGTGTTACAGTACACTCAGTACACAGCCAGAGGGCACAGCAGCAATCGACAGCCATGGAATGTCACCTTCCAAGCGTATCGGACAGCATTCCCGAGGATCCAACAGATGGTCCAGCATCTTGAGAAGGTCATTGAGGCAAAACCACCGCTTGGGGCGACAGGACCCAACATGGCCCACATTTGCGAGATAAACTGGTATAAAATAAATTGATGATTAAGCTTTGCGAAACCATCAGTGTTGATTGCCAAATAAAAAACACATCCTTGCGTCAGGGCTGGGGTTTGGAATTGTTTGGATGCTCATCCAATTGCTCAACATCCTAATCATCATGAATCATAATCCCATCATATCCCATCACCCGCCTTTACCTGAAAGCCTGGTCTAGATCCAGGTCGCCGAGAGAGAGGGAGAGAGAGAGCCCAAATCCTTGGTGTTGTACCTTGCAATGGAACTTTCCCTATGTTGTCCGTACAGAATATGACTATGACATATCCATCTCATTTCTGGTCATGTGAAGCAATAGTTTTAGATTATATATCACAATAATTCACACATTATATATATATATAGATAGATATGTATGCACATAGTTACATATGAATATATATATATGTGTGTGTGTGTAACTTGTATGCAAGACATTTGTTCTTCTAACCTCTCAGGATCAGATTGAGTCCCTTCAATGATGTTTGTTTTAGCGGCCAGTGGTGCCATGGCACAATATTGCTGTGTTTGTGCTCAAGGTGGCTTCCGCCCAATCATAAACCTCCAATTTTTTATTGGAAGAAATACCACCCATCTCTGGTAAAACTAGAGACTGTTGAATATTGGCTTCACCATGGTTTACCACATCACCTGAATTTTTGGAGTTCCAACGTAGTTAGTTTGGATGTTGTTTGCTGTTGGATTTCGACCATTCATTTTGCGCTCGCTGACTGTGAGCCTCCGAGTCATCAACATCCAGTAGTGGTTTGATCAATTATTAGCAGTTGAGGCCCATTAACATACCACTGACTATATTTATTGGACATCAGAATTACTCGGAAATGTATGTTCCAGGTGAGTGAACAAGTATGATTAGGCCAATTAGGCCTCTATGAAATTCATTGTTTTTTAGTACCTTCCTTTTCGGGGCGCCCATTTCGGAGGCCTGCGATAGCTCGAAGTCCATGACTGCATGATGGCCCAGTGAACTCCGTGAACCCGAGGGAACTAAGCTTGGTTTGGTCGTGGACTAGCCTGATTTAGCAACGAAAAAAGTGGACTGCGGTGTTTTGTTTTAATCTTTTAATATTTTTTAGTCATGAATGACATTATTTAGCAGCTAAGGCCAAGGTGTTCCTTGCTAATGTTGCTTGAAGATGCAACGACCTATGCCCACTTGCAAGATGTTACAAGATCTCATGATAGTCAGACGATGCTATGAAAGACAGTTGTAATTTTTAGGCCCCGGCAAAACAACGCATATTCCTGGGATTAGATTAGATTCCCCAAGATAGGCAACAACGGAGAATTTCAGAGCGAGAGAGGGTGAGAAACAACTTTTTCCATTTGGCTTATCGTCGCTGCATCCTCGGAAACTTCACTGCATCCACTATCACTATCACAAGGTGCGCCTAAGTGATTGGGACGGGAGGGAAACTTAGGGAAAATATCAATTGGCCGGAGCTTGACTTGGAACGCCAGTTCATAGGAGGTCTTGTTTGGGGAATTCTTTTCGTAGTTATCCGATGGCATTTCCCGCACAGACAGCGTTTTTTCAATGTTGAGTCTTGGCCCTGCTTGCTGAGTCTGTCAGGGTTTTGGCTGAAACCACTATTGTAGTGGGGCCTCCGAATGTAGACTCTATTATACCCCGTGGCGTATCGTGGCGTCATGGCGTGTTGCGGCGTTTCGGGGGTCAATTTGACGCCCTTGGCCAGATATGCGAGATCCATGAAGGCTCATCTTGATTCTGATTTGCTTCCCATGCGGTTCCCTATGTATACCGTACCACTGGAAACACTACTGAAGATGACCAAAGCTGAGCCTCATGAAGAGCTAAAAGCCCAAGGGGTCCTGGTGGAGTTTGAAAGGCATAGAGGCCAGGCGGCGTTTGTTTCACACCAGTGGGTTTCAAGAGACCACCCAGACCCAGAGTTCAAGCAGATGAGGGTCTTGCAGGATGCTCTGAAGGAAATGATGGGCAGTTTGAAAAGATTTCCGGTGAACCCTGTGACAGAAGTTGCGGAAGGGAACGTCAAGCCCATCCCCACATCCAGGATTCTGTCAGAACCGCTGTTCTTCTGGTATGACTACTTTTCCTGCCCGCAAAAGGAACGTGTCAGACTGAGCATGGGGCAAAATCCAGTGAGCAACTCGGGACGAAGTCTGATGGATGCAATCAACAGCATCCCAGCCTATGTGTCCAAGTCTGCTTTCTTCTTGGCTCTCGTCCCAGTATTGGAGAATCCCAGCAAGACCAATTTGATAACAACTTTGACCTGGCAGGCAAGAGGGTGGTGCCGTTTGGAGAGAACTTGCCGGGAACTCTCCCAAGAGCACTCCTGGATCATAGTGAAAGGTGCAAGAGACCTGGAGGTCATAGGAAGTATGAGTGCATCCCTGCGCGCTGGCTCTGGGCCAGTTGGCGATGGCATTTTTAGCGTGTCAAAGGATCGCTTCAAGCTTGGACCAGTTCTGATGATAGCCCTCAAACGCAAAATGCTCAGTCTCCTGAAGGCTCAGGTTTTGGCAGGCTATCGGGCTTTCTTGAACCAGCAACCTTTGCTGTTCAGAGGATTGGATGTCAATTTCTTTGACCCCTTGGGACTTGGAGCAGACCAGATGGGATTGGACTCATCAGAACTCACACAGTTCTTCCACCAGAATGGTTTTCGCAGCGTTCGGGAGACTGACAGTGGTGGTTGGTCGCCCCTTCATTACGCTGCCCTAAATGGGAACCCCTCGTTGGTTCAAGATCTGCTGGAGGGTCAGGCAGATCCCAACCAAGGCAGCAAGAAAGTTCATCCGAGCCTCGGGCATGCTGCAGGGACCCCGCCTCTTTCCATCGCTTGCCTTTTCAAGAACAACGAGGCCGCCCGGCTCCTGATCTCGGCCAAGGCCAAGGTCACCAATGGGATGCTGATTCACCCTCCATTCATTTGTGCGTGCACTGCCAACAATACACAGGCCATTGAGCTTTTGTGCGGTGCTGGCTGCAACCCGCGGCACATCAACATTTTTGGTGTAAGTCCCATGGAAACTGCTGCCTATTATGGCGGATTGGAAGCTATGGAGGAACTCCTAAGATCTGCAAGTGCCAGTGACCTAGATCCCACGGCCGCTCTTTACAATGCGGTGTTTGGTGGTGGAGGTTCCGAGGTGGTGCACCGCCTTGTTGAGCTTCGAGCCGATGTAAATGCTCAGACGGATGGCCACTGGAAGCGCACGAAGCTCATGCGAGCCGTGTACTCGCTGACGGTTTTGCAGCATCGGATTCACAAGGTGTGCTTGGCTTAAAACTGACTTGACGAATCTAGACACCAAATGAGAACCACTTGGTTTTTAGAGCCAGGTGATGAATTAATCAGTGTTGAATGTTACTTAATCATCATCGATGATCATTATCATGATTTATTATGCCTGTGGTTTCCAAGGCGTAGGCAGCTCCATCTCCAGTTTGGGCCCCAGGTCACCACGCTGAACCGCATCTTTTACCACGCCAAAGGGGCGACGCCTCTGATGATTGCTTTGATGACTGGGCAGCACGATTGCGCGGCGGCTCTGATTGCTTGTGGGGCGCAGGTTCATCTGAAGAACTCGAGGGGGTGGACTGCAGCGGATTTTGCAGAAGGGCGTTCAGTGCCAGAGTTCCTGCAGCAAGCATTGCAAGGACGGGTGGAAGCATGCCAGAGGGTGTCACTACTGGCGCAAGGATGGGTGGAGATGCGGTTTTAGCGACAAAACGTGACAATGTGACTATATACGGGTCTGCTACTGTACTTCCAACATGGGAGGCTCAGATTCTGGACCACGCCACGGTGGTTACGGTTACAGTGGCTCAGTCTTTATCAAGATATCAAGACAGCTGCAAATGCACTGTTTTGGGATTCTTCACCAGCATGCCGGGTTGACATGGGTTGACATGGTTAACCCGGCTCTTGTAAACATTGTCGGCCGTTGAAGTGTGCACGTCCTTCAAAGAAGTACGCCCCTGTTGGTCGCGTATTTGGTTTCAAAAAATCGAATGCACGACAGAAGTTTCACATGAACATATATCTAATTATATATCAAGGATCCTTTTGAACAGTATCACCAATTTGCAGCTTCGGATCGTTTCACCAAGGGTCCGAAAAACGAGCTTTGAGGTCACGGCAGTGGTCATGCTTTTGTGAGTTGGAACAAGAGCATGTGAATCACTTCACATTGAATTTAGATGAGTTCTGTCACTTCATTTAGAAATCAAGCATGGCCAAACACTGATTTTGATTTTGAGCATCACTCTCTGGTAGCCAAACATGGCAATGGGAGACCTCCTGTAAATGGAAGCGCTAATGGAAATTTCATTCAATAAATGTGAGATTACCCATTGCATTCCATTGCTATGTTTGCTCACAGGAGCTGAATACGCTGAGTCTATTTGTTTTGCAAGTTGTATCGGCTTCTATTGGGTTCTACGAGGAATTTCCGTGTCAAGGTCATTGGTCGGCATGATGGTGTTTGACCGGTTTGTTTGCCTAAGAGGGTTTTTAAATACTGTAACTATGCAGAGATTTGTTTTTTCACTTTTACCCATTGCCAGGAGTACTTGGGTCTATATCTATATATATATATATATACACGTTACTCGTACATCTGTATCCCACCTGAATCAAAGTCACCGACCCTGCTGGGCCACTGCCCGTTTTGTGCGCTTGGCAGGCTTGGCAGGTTTGGCAAGATCGCAGAGGGAGATGAAGAGACAGTCGGTGTTCAGGATGGCATCAGGAGTAGATGATGTTTTTTTTTGACCAGTAGATGATTTCATCACCAACACTGGTACATACATGCGCCGCCTTGGATGACCATTCCCCATATCGCCCTTCTAAGCCTTCCATCAATGTTGCTGAAAGATTATAGCACATGGCTATGGCGATAGTGAGCACTTTTTATTCCCTTCCCTGCGTTGTGAAGCATGTGTATTCACTCATAGGTATATATATATATATATATTTATTTATGTATTTATTTATTTTGTTTGTTTGTTTGATATAAGCCGCCCTAAAGCCAAACTGTAAACCGTGTATCACCATCTTCCACATTTTTTTGCTTCGCATGACCACAGCACTGTTGACGGCAGCGCTGAGGCAGAGAAGGTCGCAAAAGCTTTGGTAACTGCCACTCGCCGACTTTTGAGATGGAAGATCATCATATTTTGACAGGCAAATAATCTATCTATCTAATTCAATCTAATCTAACCAAACCCAATCTAACCTATATAGCCTAATCTAACCTAATGAGAAAAATATCTATCTATTTTTCTATATCTCTATCTATCTATCTATCTATCTACCTATCTATCCATCCATCCATCCATCCATCTATCCTATCTATCCTATCTATTCTTTCTAATCTATCCACTCTATCTAATCTAGCTAATCTATCTAACCTATCTATCCTATCTATCCTATCTATCCCATCTATCCTATCAAATCTATCTAATCTATCTAATCGTTCTAATCGATCTAATCTATTTGATCTGTCTAATCTATATAACTATCTATCCTATCTATCCTATTTAATCTATTTAATCTATCTAATCTATCTAATCTGTCGAATCTATCTATCCTATTTAACCTATCTATCCTATCTACTCTATCTACTCTATCTACTCTATCTAATCTATCTATCCTATCTATCCCATCTATCCTATCTATCCCATCTATCCTATCTATCCTATCTATCCTGTCTATCCTGTCTATCCTATCCATCCTATCTATCCTATCTATCCCATCTAATCTATCTAATCTATTTGATCTATCTAATCTACCATAATCTACCTAACCTGTCTAACCTGTCTAACTTGTCTAACCTGTCAAACCTGTCTAACCTGTCAAACCTGTCTAACCTGTCTAATCTGTCCAATCTGTCTAATCTGTCTCATCTGTCTCATGTGTCTCATCTGTCTAATCTGTCCAATCTGTCTAATCTGTCTCATCTCTCTCATCTCTCTGATCTCTCTGATCTCTCTGATCTCTCTGATCTATCTATCTTTCGATATTTCTATCTTTCTATCTATCTATCCATCCATCCATCCATCTATCTAATCTAATCTAATTTTATCTTATCTTATCTTATCCATCTATCTATCTATCGATCTATCTATTTATCTACCTATCTATCTACCTATCTATCGATCTATCGATCTATCGATCTATCTATCTATCTATCTATCTATCTATCTATCTGCATATATATATGTATATATTTATCTATCTATCTAACTATCTAACTGTCTAACTATCTATCTATCTATCTATCTATTTATCCATCCATCCATCCATCCGTCCATCCATCTATCTATCTATCTATGTATCTCCCTCTCTCATCTGTCTATCTAACTATCTAACTATCTAACTGTCTAACTATCTATCTATCTACCTATCTATCTATCTACCTATCTATCTATCTATCTATCTATCTCTGTCTATCTATCTATCTCTGTCTATCTATCTATCTATCTATCTATCTATCTATCTATCTATCTATCTATCTATCTATCTATCTATCTATCTATCTATCTATCTATCTATCTCTGTCTACCTATCTATCTATCTATCTATCTATCTATCTATCTATCTATCTATCTATCTGCTAATTATGTTACTGGGCGATGTTCTATAGCTTTTTGAACTCATCACAAGGATCCACAGGGCACACTGTCAAGCACAATATTGCTGTGGCAACCACAAGTGGGGCACCAACGGGCTTCACAATTGCCCGTCTTTTCCTTCGGTGCACGGCGTCCAAATTGCAATATTGGGTTGTTCGTCGGCCACGTGTAGTTGGAGGTAACCCTTGGTATCCTTGGTACTGTGCCAGCTGTCAAGCACCTGACCGACAGAACAGAAGCATGTGTCATCAAGAACCTAGGGGGTGATGAAATGACACATTTGAACAACGCGTCATGTGGGAAATCATCTTTGAGCGGGTCATAAAGGTGATATGACATATTGCAACAGCCAAGCGACAGCGTGCAGAGGGATGTGTTGATTTGACCTAGTCAGGAAATGTGTTGCACTTTAGAACAGCTGTTGCGCGTTGTGCAGATGCTTCACGCACGCAACATGGGTTTACAATCTCCCACTGGCTGGCGGTTTCAAAAATAGAATTTCTATGAACTTCTAATATGTAATTATATCTGTATATAAGTATATTATATCTCTGTATTTGAGTTCGATGTTCTATTCTCGTATCCCTTTTCTGCTTGATGAACGAAAGTTGGCGGCGGTCAAGGCGACTAAGACCAAGACCGTTGGTGCTCAGGAGGCGTTTGTTGATGCCTGGGAAAGATATGTTTATCATGGGAAGATTTGCCATGAACCGTGGGGACTTTATACTGTAACTGTTCGGGATACAATGCGGATGCAACCATACATAATATGTATATATCTATAAACGTATATCTATATATATATATATGTATATATAGATGTGGAAGGGACCTTTTTGTATAGAATGACAGGGTTTGGGAAAAAAACCTTACAAGACCTACAATTTCATTTGCCGCCGCTCCACCCTTTCAAATTTCCATCTCGCTTCTGAGGACCTCAATTACTATTCCATAGGAAAGGCTAGTCTAAAATCCGATCTCCATATTCATCTCCTTTTCAATGTTTCTTTAAATTCATGGCTGCATTTCCGTTGGCTTTCCTTCAAGTTTGCTGTCATATTTACTGGATCCTGCCCTTTGTACATTTCCTTTTCGAAATTTAAATTCCTAATGAAATTGTTTTTTCCGGTTCCTTCTGAAATTTGCATGCAAAGATCAATTTCCTTTTAATTTCTCTTTGGAGCTATTTCCAACGTTCGTTGGAATAATTCTCTTTGGACACGATCCAAAAACGGCGGCGCCATTACAAAGCATAGGGCGGGCCAGGGCATTTAAGCCGTCTGTGTGTAAAAGTTTCTGTTGTGTAAAAGTGTTTGGGTGGCAAATCTGTGTGTAAAAGCGTCTGTGTGTAAAAGCGCCTGTGTGTAAAAGCGTCTACATATGTGTAAAAGCGTCTGTGTGTGAAAGCTTCTGTGTGTAAAAGCTTCTGTGGCTAAAAGCTTTTGTGTGTAAAAGTGTTTGTGTGTAAAAGCATCTGTGTGTGAAAGCTTTTGTGTGTAAAAGCGTCCGTGTGTACAAGCGTCTGTGTGTAAAAGCGTTTGTGTGTGAAAGTGCCTGTATGTAAAACCGTCTGTGTGTAAAAGTGTTTGTGTGTAAAAGCTTCTGTGTGTAAAAGCTTCTGTGTGTAAAAGCGTCTGTGTGTGAAAGTGCCTGTATGTAAAAGCTTCTGTGTGTGAAAGCTTTTGTGTGTAAAAGCTTCTGTGTGTAAAAGCTTTTGTGTGTAAAAGCGTCTGTGTGTAAAAGCGTCTGTGTGTAAAAGTGATTGTGTGTAGAAGCGCTTGTGTGTAAAACCGTCTGTGTGTAAAAGAGTCTGTGTGTAAAAGTGTTTCTGTGTAAAAGTGTTTGTGTGTAAAACCGTCTGTGTGTAAAAGCGTCTGTGTGTAAAAGCTTCCGTATAAAAGCTTCTTGTGTGTAAAAGCGTCTGTGTGTAAAAGTGTTTGTGTGTAAAATCGTCTGTGTGTAAAAGTGTCTGTGTGTAAAAGCGTCTGTGTGTAAAAGCGTCTGTGTGTGAAAGCTTCTGTGTGTAAAAGCGTCTGCGTGTAAAAGCTTCTGTGTGTAAAAGCTCCTGTGTGTAAAAGGGTCTGGGTGTAAAAGTGTCAGTGTGTAAAAGCTTCTGTGTGTAAAAGCGCCTGTGTGTAAAAGCGTCTATGTGTAAAAGCGTCTGTGTGTAAAAGCTTGTGTGTGTAAAAGTGCCTGCGTGTAAAAGCGTCTATGTGTAAAAGCGTCATCTGTGTAAAAGTAACAGCGTGTGTAACAGCGTCTGTGTGTAAAAGCGTCCGTGTGTACTGTGTGTAAAAGCGTCTGTGTGTGAAAGTGCCTGTATGTAAAGGCTTCTGTGTGTGAAAGCTTTTGTGTGTAAAAGCTTCTGTGTGTAAAAGCGTCTGTGTGTAAAAGCTTCTGTGTGTACAAGCGTCTGTGTGTAAAAGCGTCTGTGTGTGAAAGTGCCTGTATGTAATGGCTTCTGTGTGTGAAAGCTTTTGTGTGTAAAAGCTTCTGTGTGTAAAAGCTTCTGTGTGTAAAAGCTTTTGTGTGTAAAAGCTTCTGTGTGTGTAAAAGCTTTTGTGTGTAAAAGCGTCTGTGTGTAAAAGCTTCTGTGTTCAAAAGTGTTTGCAATGCAAACTATTGTCTTGTACTTGTGCTATATTGTCTTGATACTGCTCTTCTCGACTGCCTATAACACATCTTTAACATATTGTTTTGTAATATGGTGTCTCCATATAAACAAGAGAAGACCCTGCTCCTCTACGCTCTCGGGCCATCCGTCGTCTAGTTAAGATCATTCAATATTGCTCGGATGGGTTTGCTGTAACCTTACATGGGAGTATACTTGCCTATCATGTCTGTTGGAATCACCCAGGGCATTGGATGCAATGGCTCTCTCCGATTCCAAAGACAACCGGGGCAACGATTGGATTCCTTTTGAGTATGTTGAGTCTTCTTGGTTTGGGTTGGCCTCTTTCGTGTCATTCTTTAGGTGACAAGGCGATTCAGTCCAATGCGATTTGGATCTTGAACAGAGCACTACATTTTCCATAGATCATCCCTCTGACCGGCAGGCGGAAAAGGTGATTCCACGGGCCAAAAAGGCTTCGCAGGTAACACCCCGGGGTGCTGGCAAAGCGGGACCGGGTAGATGGTAGGTTAATGCCTCCAGGGGCAAATTTTAAAGATTCATGTGTGCGTGGGTCACCATTAAAGGGCTTGAACCCCATGCAATGTACAGTAACTCTTTATTTAAATTATCTTACGTGGACTAATTACATAGGGAGCTAAGAATCATACCCGTAGATGGATATGTAGTTTGACCCGCGATGTTCGAGTGCCATGGCCATACTTATTTAACGATTTGATGATTACCTCAGGGTGTTGGACACTGTCTAAAACATCTAAAATTAAAACTACACATGGAGGAAAACATGGAAATAGATGGGCATACTGTATTTAGATACCGCCAACCTTTTCTTATATTTTTCTTTTAGGTAGCAACCAGGCTACAGCTGTGCATCCTCAGCTAGGCAGATGTCGAGCAGATCAGCTCGGAAGAAGAGTCCCTGCCGAAAAAGGAGGGGCAGCAGCTGGAAACCCATTCCGGAAAGAGCCAGATTTTTGCTTTCATCGCTTTATTTCTTTGTATGTTTCCCGTTTGATTTCCATCCTTGGCTGGGATAGGGATCATGACTCATGTATTCTGTCAGCCGTTGGGCTTTGATTCGCTTGGGCTTTGAGACATCCAGCATCAAACGTCGAGCTAAGAGATTCTGATCCAATGGACCTGGCGGCAAGGCGCCTTGCCGCCATGTTTGGCATGTTTTAATGTTTTACTAACATTCCAACGATGCCCAGGTGTTACCGATTGTTACTGAGCATTCCCCCCAGCCACAAACTCGCCACTCACCTCGAAACGTGCACTTTCAAGGTTAGTAAAAGGGTCTGTATGTATATATAATTATATATATATATGGAAACTTTCAAAATGTCAAACGTTACAAAGCTTGAAACGTCATCCTGGCGATGTTCATGTTGTAGGAAGCTACCTATAGATTTGTGTTTGTTGATGTTTTTTGTGCCCTTTATTTTGATTCTTTCTTAGCTTTTTGAACATGTATCGAGAGAAATGTGAATGGCAACAAATGACAGCATTCCAATCGACATCAACTGACTGCAGATTTTTAGATGCTTTCCAGGTGAGTTTATACAAGGCCACCCCCAGTTCCAATTGGGGCCTTCCGGCCTTCCACAGCAGGACTCAGCAGGCACGAAGCGCTCCAACGGTTCCACAGCGGAGGCAAAGAGTTGGGGCCATGGATCAGAATTGGGCCCCTTGAAATAGGATGGTTTACTATTTGCTAGTATCTAATATTGGTAAAGCACAGTAAATTACCCATATAATGAACTATTTTGATGGTTTATGCCAACCATTTTGTGGTAAATGCTGGAACTGTTTGTTATTGCTTTACTCACACCAGTAGAATTGTTATTGCCAATATCATCCAAAATCGATGGTTTACGCAACAGAGGATTGACACCTAGGGGATCTCTCTGGGGGTATGCACTCAATTCTTACACGCCCGGTTTTGATTGATCGGTGCCCATCGGCCGACCTCAGTTTTGTGAAATATCGTGGTTTGCCCAAATGAGCTGGATGCTTTTGTAATGACTTGGGTTTGCCGGATGTTTTTAATTTTCAATTTGTTAATGGCGAATTGAAGGACATGGCTAGGGAGGGAATAGATTTCTGGGCCCAGCAAGGAAGAACCAGAGGGCAAGGACATGAAAATAAATTCAATCATGAAGCGAAATTCCGTAGAGTTCATTCTATGAGAATGATGTATTAAGACACCTCTGGATTTGCGTGTGTGTGTGTGCGAAAAACCGCGGGGTGTATGTGTTTCAAGCCGTTTTTGCAGGCTCAAATTGTTTCCTCTCTGTTCTGCCCAAAAAGGAAACAACCTTGAAAAAGGTGTTGTGAAAGGACCCCCGGTGAGAAAATGAAGGAACCAGAAACCAGCAAGCCCTTGAAAAAGGAACATGCTGAAGCTGGTCCTTGTAACAATAAAGGAAGGCCAGCCGGTAGTGGTACAACATCCCATGCAAGAAAACAGAGACGGGCAACGGCCGCCTTGGAAAAGGTAACCGGTGCAACCGCGAATCCTTGGGAAAAGGATCAACAGTGGGCATGGGCTGAAACAGAAACCAGCAAGCCCTTGAAAAAGGAACATGTTGAAGCTGGTCCTTGTAACAATAAAGGAAGGCCAGCCGGTAGTGGCACAACATCCCATGCAAGAAAACAGAGACGGGCAGCGGCCGCCTTGGAAAAGGTAACCGGTGCAACCGCGAATCCTTGGGAAAAGGATCAGCAGTGGGCATGGGGTGAACCAGAAACCAGCAAGCCCTTGAAAAAGGAACATGCTGAAGCCGGCCCTTGTAACAATAAAGGAAGGCCAGCCGGTAGTGGCACAACATCCCATGCAAGAAAACAGAGACGGGCAACGGCCGCCTTGGAACAGGTAACCGGTGCAACCGCGAATCCTTGGGAAAAGGATCAACAGTGGGCATGGGCTGAAACAGAAACCAGCAAGCCCTTGAAAAAGGAACATGTTGAAGCTGGTCCTTGTAACAACAAAGGAAGGCCAGCCGGTAGTGGCACAACATCCCATGCAAGAAAACAGAGACGGGCAGCGGCCGCCTTGGAAAAGGCAACCGGTGCAACCGCGAATCCTTGGGAAAAGGATCAACAGTGGGCATGGGGTGAACCAGAAACCAGCAAGCCCTTGAAAAAGGAACATGTTGAAGCTGGCCGTTGTAACAATAAAGGAAGGCCAGCCGGTAGTGGCACAACATCCCATGCAAGAAAACAGAGACGAGCAGCGGCCGCCTTGGAAAAGGTAACTGGTGTACGTGTTGGAACTCCTTAGGCATGTAACTGCAGATGAAGAACAATGAAGAACAATCCTTCGCATAAGTGCTTGGGAGCGTTTGCCGAATGGTCGGACAACATGGCGGATGAGCAAAAGAAATGCGCTGCTGCTGGGCAAAGGGAGCGCTGCAAGATCTACGAAGTTGCAGGTTTTGATTAATTAAACCCAAACTGCCTAGCGGCTTAGCCATCATAATAAGACATAATAACACATAGTTATAGTTAGGCAGCTCGCCCTTTTCGGTCCTGAAACAGTTCGGCCGCCCTCGGAGGAAGCAACGAGCGGAGCCAAAGCTTCAAAAAAAGATAAGGAAGTGAAGCAGGTGGGGCCCGGAAGCGCTGGTTGGGATGGTTTGTGGGCAAATCAGCGCCCTAGGACCTGACCGAGCCCGTTAAACAACTCATAAAACTGCAGAATCATCCTTAGAAACTGTCAAGGACATGTTTATTTATTCTACGGTGGTTTAATCTTTTTTGTGCCTTTTCTCAGGAGATTGGGTCAGCTGCCACATTTGCGTACACGTGCATATTCCCCATATTTTGCATGCATTGGTTGATTGTGTGTGATTTGGATAGGTTGACAAAGTGCTCACTAAAAGGTACTTGTAGACTTGTGGTTGCTGCTTTGGAATCGCTGGGGCAGATTGCAGTGATTTTTCAATCTTGACACAGCTGAAGGAAGTTCCATGCAGTAGCTTGGTTGGTAGGTTTGCCTTGCAAGCGGACCAGCCACAATGCACAGGTCCTGTTAAATCATCAGAATCATCATCGTCATCGTCATCGTCACCCTCATCATCCTCATCATCATCATCATCATCATCATCAGGGTGTGCGAGCCGCATTTACCCAATTTATTTCGTCCCACACAAAATCAGAATTATTGTTGTGAGGCAACTACATAGAGTGACCAGGAGAACGGTCAACCATAGCAAGCTGACAATATTTTTCTGCTTGAGACACCAGGTTTATCACACCCCATCAACCTCAACACTTGAAAACGCTGCGGCGACCAATACAAAACCAGCACCCAAAAACAGTCGAAATCGTATACTTTGTGTTGTTTTTCTTCTGGACAGCGGCGCAGTGTTCATGTTACTTCCAACTTGTTCTCTTGTATCATTTCCATTCCAGAGACTGTTACGCTTTGCAGATGGTTGGGATGGTTGTGATGTTTGTGGTGGTTCAAGTGTTCAATTCTTGTGAAGATCCCCATATGGTTCCTGTCGTTCTCGCCCCTTCACCACCCCCCCCCCGCTAAACACATCTATTTTTCCAGGCAGATGGTTCCACCATCCGGCCATTCCGTTGTTGTTCTAGATTGATATGGTTCCCCTATTGCAACCCTGAAAAGGATAGAAACAGCTAGATTTGCTCCTATCATATAGTAGCATTTTGGACTTTTCTCATTTGTATTTTTGGTTTATGAGTGTATATGTTCTATGCATTCGTTTGAAGATTGCGAGATATTGCCATCCTTGGTGCGACATCCAAGCCAGACTCGCCAGGCCGTGGCTCCCAACTTCCAAGTGCCACAGACACCGCTCATGCGACAGGTCGAAGGCGTGACACGGGGATGTTTGCGGAGGAAGTTGGGGTTTGGTCTGGAAAAAATGGTGGGGGTATACTGGGGATATAACGGGGAACCATAAGAAGAATGAGTGTGTCTTGAAGATGGTGGAATTACAGTCACAAATCGTGGTCTTCCCTGGAAAATGTGACATAATATGATATAGAGGGCTGTATAAATAATGCGGATATAAGCAACAATGTATGACTTGGGTGTATCTAAGAATGGGGCATGACCGCAAACAGATCCAAACAGCAATTTAGACGTGGAACATCATCATGATAATGATAATCCACCGGAATGCGGGGGTACATATTCTATTTTTAGACAAGCCAATCCGAAGAAATGCCTGTTCTAAGGTGGCATAGGCCACTGACTGATGTTAGCAACAGTAGAGGATGGATACAACCGTCGGACAATGGGCATTGTCTACATATTTATGATTGTGATGTGATATAAGCAGCAACTGGTTGCATATATATTTATATTTACAGCACATACAAACACACGCATATGCAGTATGTACTATACAGTGTATATACGTATATATATATATATATAGATAGATAGATAGATAGATATTATATATATATATATGTGTGTGTAAGTGTGTTGCTTACTTTCCAGGTGCACATGAATTGCCGGTAATTCGTTGCCATGTGTTGTTTTGTTGGTGAAGTGAGGTGAGTGAATTGTGAAGATGAAATGGACCTTGATTCAGGCCATTCAAGGTCAGATGGTTTTTTTCAGGCCATTGTTGGGATGTTCAATTTCCTGGTGTGTAGTTGGTTTTCACCCTCACCACCATGGAGTAAGCTGAATTAAACGCATAGATGTCTAGGAGAAGTGAGAGAGAAAGGGACAACAGTATTGGCAGTTTCTTTAGCAGCTATGATCATCCAAATTGATCCATCTTCGGATGGATCCACCAAAGAGATTTCGTTGGGAAACAAATCGCTATTTTTCATTTTTTTGTGTTTGGGATGACCATCCCAAACCCAATGGTGCAATATTGGAAAGTCCATGTAAGTCCCAGATTGTTTTATCTCAACTTTTGCTGGCTCATGTCCCATCATGAGCTGTGTCATGGTCAAAACACGGGACGAATCATTCCGCATTGCTCGGGAATAATCTTTTCCCAAGAGTCCCAAGAGTTCCTATTATTATTCATCAATTGGGTTTAGTATGCCTAATAACATCATTAATTCATAGGAGAGAAAATTATGCCTAACAGGCCCATTAGTTGGAGAGATCCGTTTAATGATGGTGAGATACTAACCCATATTATATCATTACCATATTGTTGGCTATAAACACCACCTATACCCTCATTTTATCCCCAATCTTATTGGTTCGCCATTCTTGAACCCAATGTCAGCCGGGTGACCATGGCATCCCAGCTGCAGCACTGAAGTTGGCCGCAGGAATGATCAAGGCGCACCACCATTCAGATGCCTTTCTGAAGGAAACCACGGACTACGTCAAGCGTTTCACGCTGCACACGGAGGCGTGGGCGGGCGTGGGTTTCATCTGCCTCGCGCGCGTGCCTTGCTGCGTGGTTTGAATCAATCCTGTTGGTGAGGAAGGAACTAATGAGCCATGATGAGGATTCACGTTCAAGAGTGCATACTTTGTCGCACCAGGGAACTACTCAGAAACTATGAAAAATGTTCCAACCTCATGATGGATTGTCCAGTTTCATCTTGTTGTGGGATCTTGCTGTCCTTTATTCAAACGAAACAGTCTTGGCTCTGCCAAGGATCCCTACCAGATCTGGCTAAGGCAATACCCATGGGAATTGCTGGGAATGTCCATCTTATCCATGTCTGTACCTCTCTCTCTCTATATATAGTTCAGTTCTTTTTTAATTGGCATATAATACACACATATAGATAATATCAATATAATATAGACACGTAATCATATGGGCTCATACATGCATGCATGCATGCATGCATACATACATACATATACGGTAACGACATTTAAATATGTGGAGGGCGGGCCATACCACGAGGCCCCGGGGGTAGTATGAAATACCAGTTCGTATATTTAAATGTAGTTACCGTATGTTTAAATGGATTGGATTCCGTATGTTTAAATGGTCGGGCGGGCCAAAGAAAACCTTCCAGGAGGTAGTCTAAAATACCTGTTCGTATATTTAAAAGTCCGTATATTTAAATGTAGTTACCGTATATATATATATATACATGTTTATTGTGTATATAATAATATGTATACAACGCCTGGGCGGCTTTGCCGAGGCGTTGCCAGTGTGGTTGGTTCCCATCCCCACTCAACTTGTTTTCAATTTGCATTTATTTTTTTAAAGTGGGAAGACGAACAAGAATCTAAACTCCTACCTCTGTTAAACTGTTCATTCACGCGGGATGATGTTTTTGAATACAATCCCAATTCCCACCTTTGTTAAGCTTTTCATTCATTTGGTAGGACGAAGAAGAATCTAAACTCCCTCCCATGTTATACTTTTCAGTCAATTGGGAAGATTTGAGAAGATGAAGAATAATCTAATTTCTCACCCCTGTTAGACTTGCGATTCCAGTCGGAAGATGAAGAAGAGCTGCCACCCCGGACAAAGCCCAGGCATTTTGCCGATATATATATATATATATATTTATATTTATTTATTTATTTAGTTAGTTATTTATTTACATATATATATAACATGCTACCCTCCCCAAGACCAACGTTTTCATGTGTGTATGTATGTATGTATTTAATGTATGTAATGTATGTATGTAATGTAATGTAATGTAATGTAATGTAATGTAATGTAATGTATGTATGTATGTATATGTATGTATATGTATGAATATGTATGTATATGTATATGTATGTATGGTTGGTATGTATGGTTGGTATGTATGGTTGGTATGTATGGTTGGTATGTATGGTTGGTATGTATGGTTGGTATGTATGGTTGGTATGTATGGTTGGTATATATGGTTGGTATGTATGGTTGGTATGTATGGTTAGTATGTATGGTTGGTATGTATGTATATATGTATGTATATATGTATGTATGTAATGTATGTATGTATGTATGTATGCATGCATGTATGTATGTATTGTATGTATTGTATGTAATGTATGTATGTATGTATGTATGTATGTGTGTAATGTATGTATGTATGTATGTATGTATGTATGTATGTATGTATGTATGTATGTATGTATGTATGTATGTATGTATGTATGTATGTATGTATGTTATGTATGTGTGTATGTATGTATGTATGTATGTATGTATGTTATGTATGTGTGTATGTATGTTTGCATGGATGTATGTATGTATGTATGTATGTATGTATGTATGTATGTATTGTATGTAATGCATGTAATTTATGTATGTATGTAATGTAATGTAATGTAATGTAATGTAATGTAATGTAATGTAAGTATGTATGTATGTATGTTTGTATGTATGTATGTATGTATGTAATGTATGTAATGTATGTATGTATGTATGCATGCATGCATGCATGCATGGGTGTATGTATGTATGTATGTATGTAATGTATGTATGTAATGATGTATGTAATGCATGTATGTATGTATGTATGTATGTGTATGTATGTATATGTATGTATGTATATGTATGTATGTATATGTATGGATGTATGTATATGTATGTATGTATATGTATGGATGTATATATATGTATGTCTGTATGTATGTATGTATGTATATGTATGTATGTATATGTATGTATGTATATGTATGTATGTATATGTATGGATGTATGTATATGTATGGATGTATGTTTATGTATGGATGTATGTTTATGTATGGATGTATGGTTGGTATGTATGGTTGGTGTGTTGGTTGGTTTGGTTGGTATGGTTGGTATGTTTGGTATGGTTGGTATGGTTGGTATGGTTGGTATGTATGTATGTATGTATGTATGTATGTATGGTATGTATGGTATGTATGGTATGTATGGTATGTATGGTATGCATGGTATGTATGGTATGTATGGTATGTATGGTATGTATGGTATGTATGGTATGTATGGTATGCATGGTATGTATGGTATGTATGGTATGTATGGTATGTATGGTATGTATGGTATGTATGGTATGTATGGTATGTATGGTATCTATGGTATGTATGGTTTGCAATGTATGCACTGTATGTATGTAGGTATGGAAGGATGTATGCATGTATGCATGCATGTATGTATGTATGTATGTATGTAATGTATGTAATGTATGTAATGTATGTAATGTATGTAATGTATGTAATGTATGTAATGTATGTAATGTATGTAATGTTTGTAATGTATGTAATGTATGTAATGTATGTAATGTATGTAATGTATGTAATGTATGTAATGTAATGTAATGTAACGTATGTATGTAATGCATGTAACGTATGTATGTAATGTATGTATGTATGTATGTATGCATGCATGTATGGTATGTATGGTATGTATGGTATGTATGAATGTAATGTAATGTAACGTAATGTAATGTATGTATGTAATGTAATGTAATGTAATGTAATGTAAGTATGTATGTATGTATGTATGGTATGTATGGTATGTATGGTATGTATGGTATGTATGGTATGTATGGTATGTATGGTATGTATGGTATGCATGGTATGTATGGTATGTATGGTATGTATGGTATGTATGGTATGTATGGTATGTATGGTATGTATGGTATGTATGGTATCTATGGTATGTATGGTATGCAATGTATGCACTGTATGTATGTAGGTATGGAAGGATGTATGCATGTATGCATGCATGTATGTATGTCTGCATGTATGCAGCGTATGCATGTATGTATGTCTGCATGTATGCAGCGTATGCATGTATGCACGTATGCATGTATGCATGCATGTATGTATGTATTGTATGTATGGTATGTATGTCATGTATGATATGTATGGTATGTATGGTATGTATGGTATGGTATGGTATGGTATCGTATGGTTTGGTATGGTATGTATGGTTGGTATGTATGTATGGTATGTATGGTATGTATGTATGTATTTAATGTATGTAATGTATGTATGTAATGTATGTGTTCATGTATGTGTTCATGTCTGTATGTCTGTATGTAATGTAATGTAATGTCATGTAATGTAATGTAATGTAATGTAATGTATGTAATGTATGTATGTAATGTATGTATGCAATGTATGTGTGTAATGTATGTATGTATGTATGTATGTATGTAATGTATGTATGTAATGTATGTATGTATGTATGTATGTAATGTATGTATGTAATGTATGTAATGTATGTAATGTATGTAATGTATGTAATGTATGTATGTATGCATGCATGCATGCATGGTTGGTTGGTTGGTTGGTTGGTTGGTATGGTTGGTATGGTTGGTATGGTTGGTATGGTTGGTATGGTTGGTATGGTTGGTATGGTTGGTATGGTTGGTATGTATGTATGTATGTGTGTGTATGTATGTATGTATGTATGTATGTAATGTATGTATGTATGTATGTCTGTGTGTGTGTATGTATGTATGTATGCATGCATGCATGTATGTATGTATGTATGTATGTATGTAATGTATGTAATGTATGTAATGTATGTATGTAATGTATGTAATGTATGTAATGTATGTAATGTATGTAATGTATGTAATGCATGTAATGTAATGTAGTGTAATGTAATGTAATGTAATGTAACGTATGTATGTAATGTATGTAATGTATATATGTATGTAATGTATGTATGTATGTACGTATGTATGTATGTATGTACGTACGTATGTATGTATGTATGTAATGTATGTAATGTATGTATGTATGTATGTATGCATGCATGCATGCATGTATGTATGTATGTAATGTATGTAATGTATGTAATGTATGTAATGTATGTAATGTATGTAATGTATGTAATGTATGTAATGTATGTAATGTAATGTAGTGTAATGTAATGTAATGTAATGTAACGTATGTATGTAATGTATGTAATGTATATATGTATGTAATGTATATATGTACGTATGTATGTATGTATGTATGTATGTACGTACGTATGTATGTATGTATGTAATGTATGTAATGTATGTAATGTATGTATGTATGTATGTATGTAATGTATGTAATGTATGTAATGAATGTAATGTATGTAATGTATGTAATGTATGTAATGTATGTATGCATGCATGCATGGTTGGTTGGTTGGTTGGTTGGTATGGTTGGTATGGTTGGTATGGTTGGTATGGTTGGTATGGTTGGTATGTATGTATGTATGTATGTATGTATGTATGTATGTATATGTATGTATGTGTATGTATGTGTATGTATGTATGTATGTAATGTATGTAATGTATGTAATGTATGTAATGTATGTAATGTATGTCATGTATGTCATGTATGTAATGTATGTCATGTATGTAATGTATGTAATGTAATGTAGTGTAATGTCATGTAATGTAATGTAATGTAATGTAACGTATGTATGTAATGTATGTAATGTATGTATGTAATGTATGTATGTATGTATGT